TTGGGCCCAGAAATTCTATATCTAGATATATACCCATGAGAAATGAAGACATATGCCCACAAATTTCAATTTTTTTCTCTAACTTTTTAGATCAGTGTTACTTACTAAAAATCAAAAAGTCCATTGACCAATTAAGTGCTAAGAAATGCACTCTCTATCCTCACAATGGAGCATTGTTCATCAATGAAAGGAAATAGATTACAGGCTAAAATGCAGATTAATCTTGAAAACATTATGCTAAGTGAATAAAGCCAGACAGAGAAGACCACACTTTTTTATAATTCCATTTATATGGAATATCCACAGTAGGCAAGCACGTAGAGACAGAAAGTAAATTAATGATGCCCTGGGACTGAGCAGTTGGGGGAACAGGAAGTGCCTATTATCAACTATAGAATTTTTGGAGTGACAACAATGTTCTAATACATAGTAGATTGTGGTGAAGATTGCACAACTTCATGAACATATGAAAAATAATGGATTTGTACAATTTCATGATGAAGAATGTGGTAGGTGAATTATATCTCAATAAAAATGTGTATATTTTGGTGGATTACAGGACACCGAAACATAAGAAGCAGAGAACAAAGTCATAATCATAAGCAGCTTAGTTAGGCATGTCCTATGTCCTACAGGTACATACACACTTGCTGTTTTGTGTGACTGAGATCATACATATATGTTATGCTTTTGTATACAACATGAATATTCACTGATTCAAAATCCCAAAGCTACAAAGTATTTTTTGATAACCAAGAATATATTGCACCAAATCAATCTGTTAGAACAAAACTGTAATTCTGCCATTTTGGAGAAACAATTTCCCTGAAGACAAAAATGCTAACAGACATCTAGAGAGAAATGTTGGCAGTATTACAATTAAAATACTACATTCTCTCAAGGTTCAATTTAAAATGAGACATAAAGCAACAGACTACACCATGTTTCCAAGTTGTCAGATCTCTACTATTAAATTATTAGTAAGAAGGTATGTTGTCACTAAATTACTAATGTATTCCTATAGTATAGCCAGAAGACACACACACATATACACACACACTTTACACTCACTCGTCTGTCCTTATATACTTCATTTTCCCTTCTGCTGCCAGCCTACTGACAAGTCCTGATACACACTGCCCAGAGGTGGTGCAACAATTCTAAGTCCATGATGCATCTTTTCTATCAATTATAACAAAAAGATTTTACAATATGGCTAACTTAGTAGCTCTACTTTTTATCATACATTATCAGCTCAGGACATGTATAAAGCTTAGATGTTGTACAGTCCAGTATGAACTTTGTGCACAAGAAACCCAAGTACTTTACCAAAAAACTTTATATATAACCTGAGGTTATAATCTAAAATCATCTTGCAGATATGAAGATACTAGCAAAGAGCCCTTCCCCTCAGCCTCCCTTTTCCCTTTTCACCACTTCAGTGACTAAGTTCAGGACCATGTCTAGCTAGCCCCGGGAGGTGGCACTAACAAAGGTCACTTCTAGAAGGCAGTCCTTCCTAAAATCTATCAAAGTAATATTTACATAAAGACCACTTTGCTACTTCTGACATGTTAAGCATTAGGACTTATTCTTTAATACTCAGCAATATTAACCAAAATGGACATATGAAAACAAGGGCTAGACAGTATGAACTCACTTGTCAGGCAAAGAACATTGCTCCCTCTGCATACCCCAAACCCATATACAGTCAGCATACTCTCCAAGACATCAACTTAGCAATTCCATTGCCCAAATATAACCATTCCTGTGAGGTAACAAAAAAATACCTAAAAGATATTACTTTAGCCCTTGACTTTTACATGTTTGTAAAGAATTATTTCAATATTGATAGATCCTTTCAGTATAAATATGATTGTTTAAAATCAAATTTTACTTAAGAGAGACAACTCATTACTAGAAACATATGTTTGATTCTAATAGTGTATAACTTTGGTCAGTCATTTAACATATTGATCAGTACAAGTGCTCAAATATTTCCTTCTACTTCCATAATCATTAAAGTTCTTTATTATTTACTTTCCCATCTCCAAATATAATCACCTTTCCTCAGTCTTCGTATTTCACCACTTCTTGAAGAGACTAGAATTAGAAATGCTATTATTACAGTTACTTTCATGGCCTGTTATAGAACGATTGCTATTCTCTTCATGTTGAAATTCTTCCCTGGTTCCACTGATTTTATCTTCTTGAAACCATGCTGTCTAGAATCTCATCTGCTCCTTCTTTTTGTTCCTCCTTGTTCTTTGTTTTTCCTTCTTCTTAAAGGTAATTACTCATCAAGATTTTGTTTCCAGTGCTCTGCACTTTTATCCTTACAATTGTCCTTTTTGTTATGAATTCTGAATCCATTTCTCAGGCCTAAGTTTTAAACATATTTTTATTTTAAACATATTTTTCATCATTCCAATAAAAATTTTAAATTTTTCTCTTACATGGCTGTCTCAGTATTTCAAAACAAACACGTATATTCAGCCAATCTTTAAAGATCCCCTACCAAGTATCCAAGATTATAAGCTTGAGAAATGTACTTTAAGTGCTTATGGTCCATTACCAGTAAATAGACACGTGTGCACATGAGTGCAGCACATTAATAATAAATTCCAATAATACTAAACATGCTTATCAGCTTTACTTCATCTCTCTCCATTCTATTAATCTTCTTTAAAACCACTTGTGTCTATTTTCTGCTCACAATCTTTACTGCCTCTATTGTTGATGGATCAAGTGTAAATTCTTCATCTTCGTTTTCAAGACCCTTTTCATACTTTGGCTTTCTTTCCTGCCTTGCCTTCGGTGCCAACCCTATTTAGCCACAGCCCTTCCTCCAGTTGATCTGAATTGCCAACTTTTTTGTCATATCTTGAAGCATTTTATTTCCTACCTTTTCTCATAATTCTTTCTTGGCTTGCTGATTGTTTGAGGTTATATTAGCTTTGGTAACAAAAAATAATGATCTAAGACCAAACAAAGCTCATCAGTCACATTAATAGTCTCATGTGGATGTTCTTGATTGAAAGGTGATTCTACTCAACATCCTGTTTACGATTCAGGCTTCTTTTTTCTTATGAATCTGTATCCCCTGAGGCTTTGAAATCATCTCAATCCGGCAGGCAGATGGAAAGAGAGCACGAAGGGGTGGCCGGTGGGGCTGTTGCTGTGGAGCAGCCTTTGGCTTAACTTGCATTCGCCTTCCAATGGCTAGAACTCATTCCTGCTGCATGCCCACCTGTAAAGGAGTCTCAGAAAGGCTCTGACTCCAGGCAGAAGACAAGTGGTGTTTGTGACCACCTAGCAGTCTCTGCCACTCTGCTCCCTCTATTACTTCCTACTGCAGAGAATCCATGTATTCATCAGAGTTAGACCTAGAGGTTTTGTTTCTCTGAAAAACATTTTTTAACCACATCAAATGAGAAGAAAAATTTCCTTTTCCAAAGTTTTACAATATCTTTTTCCTTTCTAGTTCACTCACTGTATTACAAATGCCTTTTTCTTTTTAGTTACGCATGTCTTTTTTTCCTGATGAAGTTTGACGGTCCTTGAAGATAGAAACTATGACAGATAATTTTGGGGGTATTCACTAGTTCATTCAATATGTATTCATGGGAAGACCTTTATGTACAAAACTTACTTATTGGTATCATAGGGAACACAAAAATTAATTTAAAAAATGTCTCTAGACCTAAGTTGTCATTTTGGAGTTTGATCCAGAAGCATGGCCATGAACAAGTGCTTTGATTCCTTTAAGACTATGGAGGAATAAATTCCAGTGAACAACCACACTATAAGTCTATATTTATTACAAGCACCATGCTATGTAACTATGTGAATGTATCAACTGTTACTCTTCACCTGCCTGCTTATATTGGTGGGCCATTGCATATCAATCAGGGAAGGCTTTCCCTAATATTATGAATAGCCTTAGACAGACTGTAGTAATTATTAAAAATATTCCACATCATGTTACTTTACCAACTGAATGTTGCTTTAAGATTAAAATTCTTTGAGGAGGCTTGTGACATTCTAGGTAATAAAAGCCTGATATTACTGCATACCATTCTGCAAGTCCATGAACAGTACATATGCAACCAGCCCTGAGATCTAATAAAGAGGAAATGGGTTTAAACTGAAACAAAAAAAAGAGAGAAAGAAAGAAAGAAAAGAAAGAAAGAAGGAAAGAAAGAAAGAAAGAAAGAAAGAAAGAAAGAAAGAAAGAAAGAAAGAAAGTAAGTTAAACTTCTCCAAGAAGGATTTTGGTGAAATACATGAAAGACCTTATTAAAAATGCATTAACCTTGAAATATCTTATTGCATTCTTTTTTACCCCTAGAGAATATTAGATATGTTGTCGTAAGTGCAGGTCCTAGAAATTCAAAGGATAAAATAAATAATTTCTAGGAAAGTCCTCCCTGTCTTGCACAGCCTTCTTCCTAAAGCCTGGGCTACTTTTGATTTCTTTTCTAAAATGGCTCAGAAAGAAGCCTGTACATTGAAAGTAAAAACAGCTCTTTATTTCTTTTTTCTCTGACTACTCTGAGATCTGTTTTTGTCCCAACTTCGTAAGTATTTCAATTACTTGTTCCCGCAACAATCCTGCAGAGACGCTCTGCCCCCACCCCTTTTTATAGATGAAGATATTGAGGTTAAGTGATTTTCTCAGGGTTACAAAGAGACCTAGCAGCAAAGAGCGAATGAGAACTAGCAGTTCAACCTTCTGGTGAATGAATAGATTGAGTTTCTGAGCAGCTTTGCTATTATATTGCAAAGGGGCCGCTCAGATGCCTGGATGAATGTGTGAGTCCTGGAAATGAAAGGAAGGCTAGAAGGAGAGCATTTTCCGTCTTATTAATGACATAGGCAATTGTCTAAAGTTGGAAAGAAAGGCCCTCTACAGAAAGAGCCTTTTTGAAAGAGTACAAACAGCAGGACACTCAATTTGAGACCCTCCCTCAATGAAACTGTTGCTCTCTGTCTTACAGACAGCGCTGCCGAGGAAGCCGGGCTCCAGATTGGAGACGTGGTGCTGTCTGTCAACGGCACCAAGGTCACCAGTGTGGCACATGCAGAAGCTGTGCATCTTGCAAGGAAAGGTAGGTGGACCAGTTGCTGACCTAGAGTTAGTATGAAGAAACAGAGAATTGCAACAGACAGAGAATTCAAATGTGAGTAGGGGCCAACTGCAGAAAGGGTCCAAATGCCCTTCTTTCCCTGAGCAGCCCTTTAATGCCTTGTCTTTGGTGTGGCTTTTTTATCGGAGTTAAATCAAATTTTTGTCCCATGTGTATTTGGTACTGTTTTTCAGCCACAGAAGTGAAACCAGAAAATGGCAGTAAGCTAAACATACTCTATTTATTACCAATGTGTTCTCTTAAACTTCTGAATAAAAGGTAATTCTCATTCCAAGAATTCATTTACCTCCCTTCCTTTCTTTCCATCATTTTTGCAGTTAGGAGGCACAGTGTTTACTGTAAAAGAGAGAAGAGAGAAAGGGAAGAAAAGGAGAAGGAAAGAAGGTAGGAAGGAGAGAGAGAGAGAGAGAGAGAGAGAGAGAGAGAGAGAGAGAGGAGGTCTAAAGCTTCTATAGATTCTCCTAGAGCCACCTGAGCCCAGCAATTACAGCCACTCTGAGACAGATGGAACCACAAGAAGAAGAGTAATAATGCATACCCTCATGGCCTTGGTTCCTCTCAGATTAAACTTTGTGGAAAGGTTAATATTATCTTCCTCTCTGTAAAACAATTTACTTTCTTTGGCACTGTGTACAAATCTTACAAATCTTATCTCCCCACAGACCTTAAGCTATGCAGGTGGTAAATTCCGTTTTCCATCATGGGATTATTTGGTGTCTGTCCTCTTCCTGGCTTCCTGGAGGCTGCATTCATGCTGCAGTGCCTCTGATGCATATTATGAGGCAGGGAGATAATAAAGATGCATGTATTTGAGATAGTCCACATGGCAAGCAGTAAGGGTAAGCTGCTGAGCAGTAAGTTTCACTTGCCCTTTCTCATGCTTAGGGGTTAGCAATAGCCAAAAGATTTCTTTAGTGCAGGCTAGCACACACAAAAAAATCAAAAATTGTGTCCTATAAAATATTCTGAATCTTTCTGCAAAAGAATTTAGCTGCTCTGTAGGGTTTGATCTAGATGCACCAGAAATCCAAGGACATTGTCAGTTAGTGCATCCAACAACTGCCAAAAAGTCTTACATACATATTTATCCTTTGTGCAATACAGCTAAGGCAGAGATAATATGATAAAGATTATACTAATGAATCAATGGTATCCCATATAATAATTTTATCCCATGCATCTGAACTTAGCTCTTCCTATATTCTTTGTCACAGGTAATTACTTTTATAGTTTTTGAAATAAATTAACCTTTAATAACATTTTTAGTCTTAGGATTTTTCCCCCCAAGAATTTTAATGTTATGTATAATACTGAACCATTTCACCTCACTATATTTGTTAATGGAAGGTAGAAAACATCTCTAAAACTTGAATGGAATAGTTTCTGGCTTCTGACAAAATTATGAATTAACATCTATACTAGGAGAAAAGCTTAATTCAACAACCTAGCTTGTGTTGCCTGAAAGAGTTACACAGTGCGATGGGTTTATCTTCTGGAATAATCTGGGCTCATCAGTCCTTGTTTGTTACCTTTGCTCTTTCTCCACAAAACCTCATGACCCTTTGTCAATGCCTGTGCCTTTCTAATGCTCAATCTTAACATCAGAGATACCCGAGAAGCAGAATATGAATCTAGATCTAAGATGCTGAAGTAAGAACAGGAAGAGACTTTGGGAAAAACAAGATCATTTCATGACTGTGTTTATTGGGAAAGGTGGGTATTACATCCAATGAGCGTCTCATGTAAGGAATAGACTAAAGAACTTCTTATTATATTGTTTTTCTTCTGCCTGTGGCCCTGGATGACCAATTCTCCAACCCAATACCCCTGAAAGCTTGAAAATTAGTCACACCCAATATGGACTATCTGTGAGATAAGCCCAGAGAGATTAGGAAAGTGGCCATCCCTTGCCCAGGTATAATCTGCTCATTCCCAGGACTAAATGGTTATAGCAAAGCTTGTGATTGAGAACAACTAGAAACTATGACAGAAGACTAAGAAGAGTCCCTGAGATTCAGGACCATCTTGTAAGAAAGTAAATGAGGCAAATACACAGTAGCTGGGTCAAGATAGCAAACCAACAGGCTTACTGCTGAGGAATATTCTATCTCTACCACTACTACACTCATCAGCAGGGCCACTGGCTACGGTCTTGGCTTTCAGCTTCCTCCCAGTACATGTTTTGTGGAATATTTTAATAATCCTAGAGTAATAGTAGTTATTTAGGAAAAATAATAAGACATTTGAGAAACACAATTGCAATAAAAGGACAATATATTGAATGATCTATAACAAATAAAATAGACGAATACATCTGAAAGAACAAGCATTTAAAATAAGATCAATAAATATCATAAAAGTGGTTAAGGAGGACATTTATAGGATATTAGATATGAAGCAGAAAAGCAGACATAAAGAAGAACCAATTGTCAGTACTAGATACAAAGAAGATAATTGTTCAAATAAAAATGCAGTAGGTGAGCTGAATAACATTAGAAACACAGTGGAACAACTTTTAAAAGGTCCAAACAATTTAGTGTAAACACTCACAGAAAATATCAGGGAGAACTGTAAAAAAAGAAAGAAGGAAACATTTAAGAGTAGCTAAGGAATACAGAGGATAGAATTAGAAGAACCAATCTGATTCTATTTCAGTAAGAGTGTTTGAAGGAAAAAAACAAAAAAACAAAAATAAAAATACATGGAGGGAAAAAACTTTTAAGAAAAAAAATAAGACTTTTCCAGAATTAGTGGAAGAAAAGAAATCTCAGATGCTTACAGACTGCCAAACAGATAGAATAGAACCTTCATTTTGGCATATTTGTAATGAATCTTAAAAATACCCTAGATAAAGAGAAATAGTTTAAGTTTATGAACAGAAAAATCATATCCCTTCTAAAAAAACTGAAATCCAATTGACAGGAGACTTTTCAACAGCAGCAATTGCTGCTAGGGTATGATGGAGTAATATTTTCAAAAGTTAAAGGAAATTAGTATCATAATTCAGTTATAGCATATATATACCATATATAGCATATATAGCATATATAGAATATATCATATATTCAGTTAGCCAGCTAACTTATTGTGTAAAACCTCAGTACACAACAGACCTACATTGGCATTCATGGTTTTAGAAAAGACAGCTAAAATATTCTCAGATAAAACACCACACCAAGATCTAAAATTGTTTTATGTTAATCATGGGGAAAAAAAGGTGAGGAAATAATTTAAAGTTTCCTGTTGTCTACATCAACCCCTCCCCAAAACGGCAAAAAAAAGAAGTAGAAAATACGTGTTAATGAAGGATGATGTCCGCAAGGTGGCACAGTAGGAAGTCCCAGAGCTTCTTTCCCCCCACAAATATACAATTTAGAAACAATTCCTGGCAAAATTTCCTTTGTGGGAAATCCAAAAACAAATTGAAGGAACCTGCATCCCAGGCAAACAATAAGCTAGACAAGAATCCAGGAGTGAGATTTGGGACACACTCTCACTAGAAATCTCTACATCCAGCGCTGGACCATAACACCAGGAAAAGAACCATCAACTGCCACCTTCTCTAAGGGGAAGTAAAGGGTGCACTTCCAGCTCCCCAGCTGTCAGTGGAGGTCCTCAGGGGACTGGTTTGTCTTGTTAGTGTTGGGGTCCAATAGAAAACAGAGATAGAAGCTTGACTGGTAAATGGCATTGTCCTCCCCCATGGTTAACATACAGCCAGGAGACAAAAATTCTAACTCTCAGCTACTCCTGGGGAGGGGAAGAGTTGATGTCTGCATGCAGGCTGCCAACTTCTTTAGGCCTGCCCAAAGAACTGGCACCTGTCATTGCCAATCTAGGAGCTCCAATGGGACCATTGGCACACAAATCAGAAAGGAAGAAGTTAAATTGTTTCTGTTACAAATGACATGATCTTGAGTAGAGACAACCTTGAGATACCAAAAATAAACAGTGAGAATTAATAATTGAATCGGTACAGTTTCAGGATACAAAACTCAGCATAAAAAGTTAGTTGCTTTTCTATATGTTAACAATGAACTACTTGAAAAGGAAATTAAGAAAAGAATCCTGTTTATAATAGAACCACACTCAATAAAATACTTCGGAATAAACTTACCTAAGGAAGTACAAGATTTGTATATTGCAAACTACAAACACTGATGAAATAAATTAAGTCACACACAATGGAAAGTCATCTTACATTCATAGGTTACAAAAGTTAGGTTGTTAAAATATCCACACTACCTGAAGCCATCTACAAATTCAGTACAATGTCCATCAAAATCCCAAGAACAGTTTTTTACAGAAATAGAAAAAAAAAAATCAAATGTGAAATCAAAAAGACTACAAATAACCAAGTCGACACTGAAAAAGAAGAGCAAAAGTGGAAGCATTATGCTTCCTTATTTCAAACTATATTTCAAAATTGTAGTTTTGTTAACTTAGCAAAAACTATGGTACTGGCAAGAGACTAATAGATCAGTGGAACAGAATAGACAGCCTAAAAATCAATCCATGCATTTTTGGTCAACTGTTCTTTGACAAGGTGGCAAGAATAAAAAATGGAAAAGGATAGCATCATTAACACATAATATTGAGAAAACTGGATTTCACATAAAATAAAATATAATTGGCCAGGCATGGTGATGCATACCTATAATCCCAGCACTTGGGAGGCTGAGGCAGGAGAATTGCCATGAGTCCAAGGCCAGCCTAGACTACATAGTGAGTTCAAAGCTAGTCTGAGCTACATAGTGAGACCTTGTCTCAAAAAACAACCAGTGAGGGCCAGGGATTTAGCTCAGTGGTTTTCCCACCTGCTACACAAGTGCAAAGACCCGAGTTCAATCCCCAGTACCAAAAAAACCCCCAGTGAATCCATGTCATGAACCATTTCTCCTCTGCCAAGCCCCTCTGCCTCATCACCCCCCACACACCTTGAGCCAGCCAACTATGAACTG